CCAAAAAAAAAAAAAAAAATAGCCATCAGAGAAACGCTTCGACAGCCCTTTTCCTAATGAACCTTCTGTGTACCAGTATTTGTTAGTATCTGAAAGTATTAGTTTGATCTTTCAATAAATGTAAGAACAGCATCTAAGAGGCACTCAGTGTTAAAAGCACTTGCCTTGCACACATAGGGCCCTGCATTAAATCCCCAGAATGACAAATAAAAACTTTTATAAAATTCATGGGGAATGTGATATGTCTGTGTTTGGGCTTCTCAGGCACCTTTCTATCATTCCTCAGGTTTCTACCCATCACGTGCTTAAGATGGAACTGAGAGGCCTTCAGCTCTGATAGTGATGCCTGCACCAAAGTGCTGATGAGGAGCACTATTCTACACAATGTCCACAAGAGGGCAGGAGAGCCCTCCACACAACAGCACTACATGTTTTAGAACTCGAATTTGTGTTAGCCTTGCTTGGGACTCTTCCTGGAAAGCACTAAATAGCATGTCCTTCCTAACAAAGGGGCAGTGACATCTAGATACAATTACAGAGAGGAGGCGCTTTCAGCAACACACCCCAAGTGCACACCATCTACCTTCAACACTAATGACACAATCACACACTTCCTTGTCTGTCAACCCCCACCACTGCTGCCCTCTGCTGTCCTTGGAGCCTGGTCCCACAGCCATGCTAATACAGAGCTCCTGGGACCTGCTGCTGACAAGACTCTGCTGACAACAACTGCTGATGACAAGAACAGCCAGCCATACTTCCAATCAACCCACCTACCATACCAGAAAAGAATGTATGAGGGGGAAAAATCAGATAGCAGGAACGAAGAAGTCAAAGGCTAAGTCCATTCACTGCTAAATGACTCCTTTCAGGAATTTCCTTAAAATGTCAAAAGCCAACGCTTGAGCATCATTTAGGTTCTCACCTTTGCTGTGCCAGTCTGAGAGCCATAGAAAATCTTCACTCCAGACACAAAGACCTGCTTCTTTTGAAGAGAGATCGAACCTTTCATCATCAAATCCTGAGTTCCTTTTGGAATACATTTCTCCTGTGAGTTCTTGGCCTTGAAGAGAAACAATTGCAAAGAATCCATCAAGTCTTTTCCTAACTCCAGTAGGATGAACAGCAGCAAACTCTGTCCTAGCTTATCATTCTCTTAATCTTGCTTATTAGACACTTCAAAAGCTAACCCTGCTGTCTAATTCTATCATTTAAAGGCAGGATCCCCATTTTTAAAGACTACATGATCTATCACCACTCCCTCCAAGGTCAAAATGTACAGTCTTCCTCTGGTATCCAAGGAGATACTGGTTTAAGGACTCATACATGAACCACAAAGCATACCCCACACACACTATACAGCACACATCCACCACACCACACATGCCATCACCCTTGACAATACCAAAGCTGCAAGGATAATCATATCCTTTTTTTTTTTTTAATCACAGGTTCTTATGTTGTCCAAGCTGGTATGTCCTACCACACTCAGCTCCATGAGGGTTTTGCAGAGAACTTCTTCCCATATACTTTAAATCACCTGCAGATGACTTACTAAATACTAATGCAATGCAAATGCTATGTAGTTTCTCTACTGCTGTTTTTATGGAACAATGACACAAAAAAGTCTGCACATGTCCAGTAGAGCAATTTGGTCAACTCCCAACCCAAAGAACATGATTTTCAATCTGCAGTTGTCCCAGGGCATGAAGTATTAAGTGTAGATATTTTCATAAGTGATGTGTTTTAGCAAAGTAACAATAGGAGTTTATTCTCTGCTCCTTTAATTAGTGGAAAGAGGGCTGGTAAGGTGGCTCAGTGGTAGAGTGCTTGCCTTGCATGCATGAGGCCCCGGGTTCGATTCCTCAGTACCACAGAAGCAGAAAAAGCCATATGTGGCGCTGTGGCTCAAGTGGTAGAGTGCTAGCCTTGAGCTGAAGAGCTGAGGGACAGAGCCCAGGCCCAGAGTTTAAGCCCCACAACTGACAAAAAAATAATTGTGGAAAGAGAAGATGATTGCCTATTTTAGAAGCAAATGAGTTTGCTTTTCTCATAAAAGCCAAGTTTGGCATTGGGAAAGGTGGGTGAGAATGTTGAAAAGAGTAAACTTGATCAAAATGTACTGAATTCATTAACTCTCTTGTTAATGGCAACTACTTTGTACAACTACTTAAAAGATAATTTTTAAGCCCGTTTTTTCAGTACAAAAATCTTCCTGACATAGCTTATAAAAACGTAAGAGGGCTGCAGGCTTGGCTCAAGAGACATACTACTTGCCTAGCAAGAGACCCAGAGTCCAAATCCCAGTAAGGCCAAATAATAAAGAAACAAATAAATAAAGGCATCTTTCAATCTAGAGACCAACCATAACATGATTTAAGGTTCCTTTTAGGTTTCTGTATTTTTCTGAGAACCCTGAAAAATCTTCACTCTAAACTTCATTAAAATCTGATACCTAAATTCTCTACTTAAAAAGAAAAGTACACAATATACCTGCTTCTTGAGGATAATCTGGACACAAATCCAAAGGCTAATGCCCAAAGCAAAGCCCAAGTAAATGTAAAAGCGGTTTATCCACAATGATAGCAAAGGTGAAGTGAGGTCCCACACATCCACAGATGAATCTAAAATGATACACATGTGAAACTTCAATTAAGGCTACACACACAAAGATGTCCACTCTTCCTTTTATTTAGAAATCATTTTCCACAATCCATCTGGAAACTTTTTTTAAGTGAACTTGAAAGTAGAAGGAAAGTAAAAGAAAAGTTTCACCAAGTTAAGATGGGCCCCAAAGGAGTCCATAAAACTATATATATATATATATATATATATATATATGTAAAAATGATGTACTACAATGTGATATGATCAAAAGGTATCATAATGACTACGCTAACGCCTATAATCCTAGCGTGTCAGGAGGCTGAGATCTGAGGATCACAGTTAAAAGTCACAACAGGTAGAAAAAGTGAGACTCTTACTTCCAATTAACCAAGAAAAGTCAGAAGTGGAGCTGTGGCTCAGGTAGTAGAGCCCCAGCCTTCAGAAAAAAAATTAAAAAATCAAGGACTATGCCATGAGTTCAAAACCTAAGTACTGGCACAAAACTGTACTTCCATTTAGACATAAGCACTTGGAAGAGAAGGTGCATAAACTGAGAAGATGCCATGTGGAAGGAAATGTTTTGCTTTCTTACGCTTGTTCCAACAAGTAAACGTAAATGAAGGGCATTTCCTTTTGCCCAATTATAGTTCTAATGACTCAAGGCTACTTTCAAAGGGCTCTCAAATAACTGATATTGTGTTCATATTTTTTAGTTGCTTGTTTTTGTTGTTTGATTTTTGTGATTGCTTTTGAGACAGGATTTGGCCATGTAGCCCAGGCTGATCTCAAACCCATTCTCCTGGCTCAGCCTCCTGTTTGCTAAGATTACAGAAGTAAGCCACCACACACAGCCCAGGGCCCATTTTTAGAAAGGAAGATATTGAAAGGACCTGCCCTCAACTGTTGGACCTGAGAGAAATTTCATAAACCAAGGCAGCGGGGTATAGCTCAGTGGTAGAGTACATGCTTAGCATATGAACCCTGGGTTTAATCCCCAGCAACTCCAGCTGAAACGCTGCATTTATTCTGGTATAAAAGAAGAAACAAAGGGGGAGCATTTGTTGTTCCCATTGTTACATGTCCTGTTAAGCGGCAAAAGTCAGATTAGAGAGGCATGGCTCATGTGGGAGAGCAACAGCCAAGAACACCAAGTGGAGCTTCCAGGTCTCCACATGCTAGGGTGAGAAGCAGCGTGGGCCCTCTCTCTTCCCTTTCCTGGGGGCTAAGATTGTCATCCTATCACACCCGCCACGTCCAGTCCACCTCCCTCCCCACATCGCACCCATGTCCTCATATGCGCTCATAGGTCACCCACGTCCTCACTCAGCACACACAGCCCACCACGTCCACACACACGGCCCACCACGTCCTCACGCACAGCCCACCACGTCCTCACGCAAGTCCCCACACGGCCCACCACGTCCTCAAACCGCCTCACTCCTCACACGGCCCCGGCCGCGCGGCTGCACAAACGCCGGCTCGCTACGGAAGCCCGGAAAGGGCGCCGGCGCCCTCCGCCCAGCCCCGCCGCTGACTCCTCACCCATCCTCCTCAGAGCCCGAGCCCTAAGCGCCGGAGGAACGGACTCTCGGACCTCCGCACGCGCGGGCACCGGGAGGCAGCCCTCTCTAGCCGTACGGGAGCTCACAGAGCCGGGAAGCCATGCCACCCGCGGAGCCTCCGGATTGGCCGGAGGAGCAGGGGGCGGGTACGGAGCGAACGCCCGCCGCCCGCAGACAGGAAGCCGAGTTCTCCCTTCCCGCTGATTGGCTTAGAGTGGACAGAGGGCGGGCACCAAGCAAACTCCAGCATTGGAGGGCAGGAAGCCAGAGTTCCCTCCGACCTGGTGATTGGTTTAGAGGGGGAAGGAGGCGGAAACCAAGAGAGTGCTAGCTCGGGAGGACAGGAAGCCGGATCCTGCTAACGGGGGGTCCGGCACAGAAGGAAGCGCCGCCCAGAGCTGCGAGCGCGAGAGCCTAAGCGCTCCAGATCCTGCCTGAATTGGTTTAGAGGGAAAAGGGGCGTGCCAGAGGGAAGTACCAGCCACCGCACCTAGCGACCTAGACGGTACTTCCGGCTCCGCGTGCATTGGGCGAGTGGGAAGAGGCGGGTCCGGAAGAAACTGTCAAGAAGTGAGTGGCCTGGGAAAAAAAATTTTCAGTTGTCTAGAAAAGCAAAACCGTGTTCACAAGCCGAGCGCGGGTGGTCACGCCTGTAATCCTAGCTACCCAGCAAGAGGAGACCTGAGGATTGAGGTTCAAATCCAGCCCAGTCAGTAAAGTCCATTAGACTTTTATTTCCAATAAACTACCCAAAAACGGTGGAAGTGGAGCTGCGGCTCAAGTAGTACAGTGCGAGCCTGAGCAAAAGAAGCTCGGGAACAGTGTGCAGGGCCTGAGATCAAGCCCAGGACCAGCACGTACGCGGACAGGAGAATGAAACCGAGATGGACGCGTTGCTAATTATTAAAGCCAAGATGCTTATCATTGTTGAATTGTTGGAGCAGTGTCGCTATGAAGCCCAAGCTGGCCTCGAACTTGCCATCCTCCCGCCTCCGCTTCCCCAGTACTGATGTCGGAAGAGCTAATGTTTTCATTTTCCTCAGCGAAGGTCAGAGTGGGCGTGGCCGCTGGGCTCTGCGTTCCGGAATCGCACGCCAGCGCACGCCCAGCTCCCGGAGAACGGAAGTTACGTAAGGAAGGGCGCCGCCTTCCGGAGCGCAGGAAGATGCGTCGCGCGGAAATCGTGCCACGGACGCCTGCGCAGAAGGCGGGCCGGGCGGGCCGGGCGTTGCCGATGCGCGTGCCGGGTCGTTAGGTCGGGCGGCCCGGGCGGCGCCAGTCCGCTCCGTCCTGCGTGCTGCCACCATGTCCATCTTCACCCCCACCAACCAGATCCGCCTAACCAACGTGGCAGTGGTGCGCGTGAAACGGGGCGGGAAGCGCTTCGAAATCGCCTGCTACAAGAACAAGGTGGTCGGCTGGCGGAGCGGCGTGTGAGTGAGCGGGCCGGGCGGAGGGCCGGGGGAGAGGCGGGGAAGGGGGCCGGGAGGGAGGCGGGTCAAGGGGGGACGGAGGAAGCGGGAAGGGGGCCGGGCGAGGGGGACGAAGGGAGGAGGCCCGACAGGGGAAATGGACGTCGCGCTCCTACTGGAGGCAAAAGGAGGCTGGGCCCAGGCCCGCGCTGCCTTCTCGTTAGGCTCGGGTCGCCCGTTTTGAGTTGTTTTGTTGGTGTCCTAAAAACGACAGCCCAGAAACCCCATTAACCGTGGCCATTTCCTGAAATAATGGTAAAGACTTGGATAGCCCGACCCCTAATAGCGTCGGTCTGGACCTCACTGCCCGGGCCCCGCCCAGCCCGTTTTTCCGGTTAGTCCCTCCCCAATGAGTAAGTGAGGAGTCTGAAAAGTTCCCCGTGGGCCCCGCCTCACGGAGGAGGAGTTCTCGCCGCCGCTGGCCTTCCTTCCGTGCCAGTGCCCGCTTGTACCTACACGTGAAGTATATTTCCAAGGGTGTTATGCTCACGGGCTCTCTCCTGCCCCCCAAGGGAAAAAGATCTCGACGAAGTCCTGCAGACCCACTCAGTGTTTGTCAACGTTTCTAAAGGTCAGGTTGCAAAGAAGGAAGACCTCATCAGTGCTTTTGGAACGGATGACCAAACTGAAATCTGTAAACAAGTAGGTTCTGCTACTTAGTTTCTTATTCTTAGTGCACACAGACCCTTACCATGCTGGTACCTGGAATCAATAATAGAGATGGGACAAAACCTCCAGAAATTAACATTTAAAATTCTACTTCAATTTGCCCAGTTACATATTTACCTTCTCCCCCGGCCAGTTTTTCTGTTGTCTTTTGGTTGGTTGGGTGTGTATGTGTGTTGGTACTGCAGCTTGAACTTGTTGTGTTTTGGTTGGTTGGGTATGTGTATGCTCGCGTGTGTGTGCGCGCGTGCGTGCGCATGCCAGCGCATCTGTGTGTTGGTACTGCAGCTTGAACTCAGAGCCTCAACCTTTCACTCCACTTTTTCACTCAAGGCTGGCATTCTTCCACTTGAGCCATACCTCCACTAAATGCTTTTTGCTGGTCAACTGGAGATGAATCTCTTCTCTTGGTTTCATTTGGCCTGAAAAGACGATTCTCAGATACCAGCTTTCTGAGTAGCTGATTATAGGTGTGAGCCACTGGTGCCAGCTTACTCATTTCTGTAATTACCTAACAAATAGATAATTTTCTTCAATCTCGGGTGGGTGTTTTGTAGATTTTAACTAAAGGAGAGGTTCAAGTGTCAGATAAAGAAAGGCACACGCAGCTGGAGCAGATGTTTAGGGACATTGCAACCATTGTGGCAGACAAGTGCGTGAACCCAGAAACAAAGAGGCCATACACTGTCATCCTTATCGAGAGAGCCATGAAAGATATCCACTATTCAGTCAAACCCAACAAAAGTACAAAACAACAGGTGAGTGATTCTTAACATAATCAAAACTTATGTCTGTGGAAACCATTAAATTAATGGGTCTGCATGAAAGCAAGTAATAAGTTTGGGGAGGGAGCACCAGGGATTGGGGTTGTGAAGAGTATTTTTTAAACAAAAATACACATAGGACTCTCCTCTTCCCATCCACATCAAACTTTTTTTCCCCCTCCAGTCCTGAGGCTTGAACCCAGGGCTTGGGTGCTGTCCCTGAGCTTCTTTTGCTCAAGCCCAGCACTCTACCACTTAAGCCACAACACTACCTACAGCTTTTTCCATTTATGTGGTACTGAAGAATCAAACCCAGGGCTTTATGCATACTAGGCAAGCACTCTACCACTAAGCCACATTCCTAGCCCCTGCATCAAATCTTTTAACTCTTTAAATTTTCCTAAATGTAGTTTATACACTGTCAAATTGGATGCAGGTGCCTGTAATGACAGTGTTGGAGAGGCAGGGCCAGGCTGGGCTACACAGCTACTCTGCTCAAACATGAAACAAAACAAAGCCATCTTTTTACAGTGTGAAACTCAGTTGTAGAGCCACTGACCTTTGAAACCTCCACCCCTCACAGTCGTTACCTGTTTGCACACACACATTGCACATAAATGCACATGAACACACACACCATGCACAAGCCCCTGGCAAGCACTCTTCTGTGTTCTGTCTCTGGATGAGTCCAATGAGAACATTTCAGTAGTAAAAGTAGAAGGTTTGTGGCCTGTGCAGTAACCCGAGTCACCACTGCATTATGCAGTGGCCCCATCATAGGAAAATACTGTTTCTTTCATCAGATGACATTGGGTGGTTTTCAGTTGTCAGTTGTTAGGAATATACTGCCATGAGATTCACTGTAAGTGTTGGGATGCGTTTTAATTTCTCACTTCACTTTTTTTTTTCTTTTTTTGGGGGGCCTGGTTGTGGGGCCTGAGCTCTTGGCCTGGGCGCTGTCCCTCAGCTCTTCAGCTCAGGGCTAGCACTATACCGCTTGACCCACAGTGCCACTTCCGGCTTCTTTTTGCTTATGTGGTGCTAAGGAATTGAACCCAGGGCCTCATGCATGCAAGGAAAGCATTCTACACTGAGCCACCTTCCCAGCCCCTCTCACTTCACTTTCTAGGGCTTCCCAACCAGGAGTCCAATGTCCCCACACTCTAAGCAATGTGGGAATCATCTCCCTTTGTGTTAGAACCATCAAGTGGTGTCTCACGGTTTCCATTTCTTTTTTTTTTTTT